TCAGAACAGCCGCTGGCTATGAGGGAAACCAGAGTGATACAGAGAGTGGTCAGATTGAGGAAGAGTGACCTGATCTCCTGACAGTAGATGTCGACAGCGCCTATCTTATTCATCGATGGACCTTTCCCCTGGTTATGGTCTGACGAGTATCTCTTGCTCTGTCCCAAGCTGTTCATGAAGTTTTTGTGTGTCTCCCTGCCAGTGAACGTCCGAAGGGCCGATATGGCCTCTCCAGCCATCAGAGTAATGACTTCGAAGACGAGACGGACCAAGGCCATGAGGAACACTTTGTCTCGTGAGACGAGGGATTGCATAATCAAGGATTCGATCAGTGAACAGCAGCCCAGGAAGACTTCCAGTATACAGCAGCAGATCATCACCTTGGCGGCAGGCTTGCTCTTCGGTATGGCGAGGTAGAGCCCTTTGATCCAGTAGCTCAGACCGTAACTGCCAGAACCTGGAGGTGAGTCTCCAGAGAGGAGAGGCACGCTTTCTGTGCATGGCATTCTGATATCGGTGTGAGTGTTGTCAGTATTGTCGCCATGATGAGGCGCCGGTCAAGGGTTCTATCCTCCATTCTGCAACTCGCATCCCGAAGCTTTAGCGGTGGTCAGCGCTACATGCAGAGTCTGCCGTGCTGCATACATCCATTGCAGCGCCTTGATGTCTTTGAAGAACGCGAGACGAGATGGCGCTTGCTTGCTTCCATTGCGTCGCAAAACAATTAAGTCTCAAAGGTGCAGATGTGGGTACGCGTATGGGCTATCTGTTTGTGCATGATACAAGAACTTTCACAGGTTGTTGCCTTCCTTCGTGAAGAGTGAAGAATCGGCTAGAGAGCGCGCACCTGCCCTAGCTGATACGATGTCTCATGCAATGATCAGCCATGGCTCAAGATTTGCTTTCATTGCCGCGACATTGATGCGTTAGGTTAATAAGGCACGGTGAAGAGTGAAATATCCATACGCCATGCGCTGTAAACGTGCACGCCCTCCAGTTGGTGCTAACTGAGCCAGCTATCAACGAAGAATCCCCCTTCTTTCAAATCCGCATTCGGGACTGCACAAGGCATGATTGGAGGTTTGAATGGAGGTGGGACTGTAATTTGGACTGAATGTTCGCTGACATTAGCACCTGGATCGTGACAGTCAAGCCACTGTATGAATTCGATCTTGGATTTGAACCAATGGAGGCGATCATCGTCGAGGTCAGAAGCATCTTGCAATGGATACAACTTAGTGATGCTTTCGAAATTCCCTTTCATGATTGCCCATGTCTTCTCGGTCACCACAACGATCGTCTTTCTATCAGGACCGTTCTGTTGGTGGCAAAGCTCGACATATACATGGTCAAGGCTGATGCGGCCGTGAGCTAGGTGTGCACCTCGGTCCTTGCAGAAGCACTGTAGATAGTAAACATGCATAACCCTACACCAAGTCAGCAGTGATCTGTGTATCGAGGAGACGAGCTGACCTCTCCGGGGGACTTTTTGAATCCGCAACCAATCTCTTCATTGCTCTACTCAGGAGGGTATCCCTGCTGACACTGAGCTCGGTCCAGCAGCTTAGATTTTCTGAAGAAAGCAAGACGGAGCCAGACCCCAGAACCAAATCCCACTTGCTAGTGGAGGACAAAAAATTGGCCATCGGCAGCTTATCTCGTGCGAGAACTGTGCCTCGAGACACTTCCAGCTTTTTGACATGAAAGATATGTATCATGGATTCAGGTTTCTCATCGGACAAATGTGCGACCAGAGCAAAGCTCGCCGACACTTTGAGTAGCGCATCTTCAGCTAACAAGAATACATCATGTGTCTCTTCCGGAGAGTTCATCACACAAGACTTTTTCTCTTGGCCTCCGCAGTAAGCTATGAACCAACATTTGTCTTTATCGTGGAGATTCGAGAAGCGAGGGATCTGGTAGATGAGCAGCTTCTGAGGCGAGAGTAGACAATATCTCGCTCTGCGTGGCGTTAGTGAACGGAGACCCATAACCTGCAATGAACATACTGTAAGTCATGCTTTTCGATCTGCGTGAATGGCTCCATAGGACAGGTCTTTTGGTGGAGAGTCGGAATGGTGCTCACGAAAGATGGCTCCAATCTCATACTTATGCCAACCCCGTGCCCGAACCCCTGATCGACGCAGATCGGATGCAAGTTCTTGAAGCTGGATATCTCCAGGCTCCAGGGCATGCATTCGCCGGGGCAGCCGAGCTTATCACGCATACGATGCGTGGAAGTGATATAGTAGACCTTGTGAGTATGTACACATGTCATTTCGCTTCAGAACATGCAAGGATGTGCTGATGCCGCTTGCAAACTACGGGCTGATGTGCAATATCTGCACGTCCTCGCGCGCCAGAGAAACAAACGGGCCCGACAACGACGCGCAATTGCACCAGAGACTCGAATAATCATTCTGTCAATGTGACGTTCCCAAAGATACAGCTAGCCTGCTTATGATCCCATTCAGCACTTAGTAGATTCCTCGCAGAGTCAATCGACACGGATGAGCTTGTTCATAACCAATTCCGCGATCAATCTCTGTCATTGATAGCATATGTACTTCTCACTGCGGACAAGCGAGACAACGAGAAACAAGCATCCAGCTGGTAACGAGACTTTGAGGAAGGAATTTGCAGCTCATCAATCAACTAGCAAGTAAGCATCTGTGATGATATGTGAACTGCAAGCCACGTCCTAGCGTCGCGTTACTACGCGTCTCAGAGGATTCACTAGCTTCACGAGCTCGTAGCACTGGGTGAATAATTTTTGGATAGCCATTCACGCAATTTCCTGGATATTCTGAAGATCTGCAATGACGGTGGCTCTCGTTGGTCAAACATTGGCTGCTGAGATACGATGTGAATATCCTTGCCTGAGCCCTGCCTAAGCGCAGGAAATATGTTGTTACAGACGCAAACGTGGCTAACATGTACTGTTTCTCCAGATGCGCCGCATAATCACGCCAACATGATTGTCTGCTTGTATCTTCCACGCGGTTTTCAAGGCCTGTTGCGAAGATCGTGACTAAGAATACACATCTCATGAGTCGTCGAAATTGTACTAGGCGTCGAGTCACCGCGAGTCCCATGATATGCAGGAAGAAAGACACCTGAGATTCGAGTAATGTGCAAAACTTGGCGCAGGACCCATCCTGATTAGGATAGAATTAGCAGCATCTGAACCGTTGGAGGAATGAAGACAGGGGTTTTGATTGATGCAGAAATATTGCATGGCTAAACGATTCTTTGCATATAACTCGTACAAAAATCCTCATTGTCGACCGAAATCAAGTAACCTTCCAGACTCGTTGCTCTTCAATTTGCTTACTCCGGATCCACATGTTGTATGAGTTGTAACAACCCTAACGTTCTGATTTTCCAAAGGCAGCGTCATGCTTAATTGCTGAAGCGAGAAATCGGTCTCTGTAAAACATCAACATCAACATCAGCAACGTGGAAGCCGAAGGTAGGTGATGTACATCAGATGGCGGAGAACTTTTGCCATCAAGTCCCTTGGCTGGGGTCTTGGCAGTAGAGAGCGCAGGCAGTAGGTGTTCATCGGGAAAAGCATCTTCCTTTTGCTTCGGACCAGGAAGACAGCAGAAAATGAGTGACAAGTAATGAATTAGTCCAGAAAGATTCATTGTGCCAGTCTACGTACGATGATTCTGTGTTTGCAAAAGCATAGGGGAGCTTTATAAAGGTCTTTCAACGTGATACCTGACAAATCTTGCATGAAACTGCATGGGTCTTGGTGTGTTGGTGCGTTCATGTCGTTCATACTGATACCTGGGTTGAGCAGGCGACAGTTTCCTGCCAGTAACTGAGAACATGCAGATCTGCACGTGCCGTTCGCCAGACAGTCATGTTACAATTATCGCAGTGAAGACATTGCTCACACGGGCATTGAAATCGTACTGAATGGGACTAGCCATCCAAGATACTAGTGCAATGGACTAGGAATCTCACTCAGGTCTGTGTGTTGGAATCAAGGCATCCTGCATGATGTGCGAAGTCGGCTGTCCTGACCGAAGTGATGGCATGGCCTGAGCGTCCGTGCTGTAGTGGAGATTGGTCTCGGGACCAGTATGTACGCAAAGGAAAACATTAGTGAATCACGCACATCATGCAGTCACAACTCTGGTCATCATTAAGTAGTTCTATTCATCCGAACAGCCTGACCGGATGTGGAAGCAAGAGTCTCTGCTTGCAATGCAGTGAACACACCCCACTTTGCTGTGGTCTAAGCTCCATGTACTCTTGCTGCTCGCAGCAGTAACACCCTTGACAAGGTGCGAAGCGCACCAATGACTCAGGAAGAACTGATCGCCGCGCTGTATGGGAAGCTCAGTCGGAGTTTGGAGGATAATCACTTGAGAGGTGAACTCGACTTTGTGAGATTCAGTCACTAGGTTCCTTTTACATTTTCTCCAGGTAACCGCTTTCAGAGCCTCTTGACTGGTAGAAAAGGATTTCCAGCCCATTGCATCGAATCGGGGGGGGAAATACTGACTTTGGGGAACAAGCTCCAAAGTCATGCTGCGACCTTTGGAGCTCACAGTCTCAACCCACTTCTTGTCTGCTCCTTCTAAAGACGTCTCAGTTGGTGTCAGAGTCACGGTCGAATCCGAAAAGCCGTTTACATAATGTTGTCTTTGCAACAATGCTAGACTATCCGCTAAGCCCTCGCTAGAGGTCGCATTATCGTCCACATCAACTTGTAGCTCACCGTACTCCAGACTCCTGTGCGCTAGCTATCTAAGCAGACTGGGACTGCTTATTGGTTTGATCTCGATCTGCAGGGAAAGTCTCAGCGTCCTAAGCCTTTGTGAATGCCCCTGGTGAATGTCTAGGGGGAAGATTTGGGCTAAAGTTCATACACTCACAGCGACGGAGCGTATCCGCTAGACAAGATCACCCATCGGAACACAGAGTGTAAAGGGCCAATCACCAACGCGGGAGGACGTTAAATATAGACATGAACCTTGAACAAGAGGCGGACCAAATTAGACTGAAGGGAGGAAAAAAGCAGCAGTGTTCGGCGCATAAAACAGGGGCCGTGCTTATCTATCCAAGACCTTGGTTCTCTCGCGAATATCTCAGCACTGAAATTGAACTGCAAAGACCTTACGTCTATCCGCTCCGTCAATGCAATACATAATTGATCTGACCAGGAATTTTTGCTCTTAAGCACTGATGGATTTGAAAGCCTCCCATTCATCCTTGATAGCATTGGACCAAGATCTTATTCCGAGCAACCAATATTGTCGTGAGTCTCTGTTCACGAATCTATCCACGGACTCGTCAGTCACATTTCTCGAGCATAGATCCACGACGGGAGTCCAATGTGGAGCTGATCGACGCTCTGCGACCGCAAGAGATGCCTTTATGAGATTCTCGACGTATTCTCCCTTCATCTGGTATTTTTTGAGGATTTCCAGAGCCCGACTCCAAGCAGCGATAGCGTCTGGCCATTGGCTTTGCGAATGATGGACTTTCGCCAAGCCCAGCGATGCTTGCAGAAAAAGACTCTGCTGTAGCAGACTCGGATGGTCTTTGCGACTGCCTGAAACTGGCTCACAAAGCTGGCACAATGCAGTGTATGTTTCCTCGAACGCCTCTCTGGCTAAGGGTAGGTTCCAGCGTAGGAGATTTGCCTCTGCTAGGGCGAGTCGTAGTCGGTGGCAAACTGATGTGTTGCATCTATCTCCGGATTCCAGCTCGCGTATTGCTGATCCAAGACGGACGATGAGAGAGTTTTGGGCTTCTTCATCTACAGGAAACTCCCTACCGCGTTCTGCGAGATACTCGATACTGGTATATGCATCCTCTGCGACCGCACGAAAGTAAGCTGTATTTCGGTGACTTTTTGTTCGTGACTGTAGAACATCCTTCAATATCTTCGATGATTCAACCAAATTTCCTTTATAGCGCAGTAGCTTTGCCTTACAGACGTCAATGTCAAGTCGTGTGAGTCTCTCCAAATGAGTTCCCTGCAAAAGAGCCTTCGAATGCTCGACATATTGAAGTGCCTGATCAAGTTCTAGATTCATCACAGCAGAGTCTGCCTGCTGCTTCAGAATAATGGCAAGTCTCGCTCGACATATCACAGATTCATTGATGGTCTGGCACTCTTCCTTCACTTTCTCGATGATTCCTCGCATCTTCACCACAAGGATTGGATCTCTGTTCCTCAAGAATAGTTGGCGTTCGCAGTTCCAAAGGCGTACATATATGAGGCTTCTGCGGTCGGGCAAACATTTCATTGACTTCGCTAGCAAACTTGTCCATGTGGGCTTGTCCGACTGCGAAAATCGACTGGCAGAAAGAAAGCAGAGAGCGAGTAGCTCTTGTTCGACTTCTTTACAGGTTCTGACCGCATGTACGAAATTCATATTGTCCAGGAGATAGGCGAGACTTGGCACGAGTGCCATACCTAATGATCTGTATCTGTAGCACAGGGTCAGTGATCTTACAATATCGCACCGGAGATCTCATCGTCCTATTACCGAAGATGGAGGTTCTGGTCGACGGGAAATATTCGGCCAACAAGTAGCAGCATCTGTTTATAACTCTATCTCCCTTGGTCCCCGAGCAACTGCACGACATCTGTTGCTATGCCGTCGTTAGTAGGAGTGGCCTCTACCACTTCGCCATCAGAATTCCAGCGTCTGACAAGACCTCCGGCGTCTTTGAGTAGTGGAATGACAGTCTCGATATGAACAGGCTGCAGGAACGTGAACATGTGAGAGAGAAGAACATGATCGGCAGTCTGTTGGATCAGATCAAGGTCATGGCTTGGATTCTGAGCGCCGTGAGCGCTGACTGCCTCAGGGCTTTCCTCAAGATATGTAGAGATTACCGGCAACTCGTGTCTTTGTGCTTCAGACTTCTTCTCGTGGAGTAAAGTATGATATCTGGCCTTGAGCTCCTTCTGTACACCAGCCAGACCAAGATACTGTTGGAAGACTTCGTGTTTCTTCAGCTCCTCGTTGAGCTGGTCGATCTTCTTGAAAGTCAATTCTCGTAAACTTGAACATCGATCAGTATCATTCAGCGACAGAGCAGAATTCACATACACTGTCTTTCTTAATGAGGCTAAGCAAAATAAAAGCCCTGGTGCCAGCCGCATCAACTGCCGCCCCTCTCGAATGAGAGCGCCAAACTTTTTCCGCGTCAATGAGATTGCGGGGTTTGAGGAACTGTCTTCGGAAAACTTGTCAAATGCCCTGTCGATCACTGCACTTCTGACAGTCTTTCCGTGTGGAAGGGGACCAGAGGTGTTTTCGACTGTTCCATCAGCCACTGCCTCTTCCACAACCTCTGCAAGGATATACGTCAGTAAGATGTCTTGGTTCTGGTGATGGCTTCTTCGACAATCTATTTCTGATGCGATGTATATTGCTGTTCCATGTTTGAAGCTGTTTGTAGAGGACATCTCGGTCGACCACCACTCCTTCTGGAGATTAGGATTGCCAGCAAGTCTCTGCATCTCGCGTAGGTGAGCAGGTACGGAACTCAGTTCCGCTTTCAAGTCCAACTCTTCAATGACCGATTTATATGTGATGTCTCGGCCGGACCGTGCAAGCGTGGCGGATGGCGGTGACTGAGTCGCGGTTAAGATCGTGGATCCTCGATTTGATACCGCCCGGTGCATTAGACCGTGAGCGGCGTCATGATCTTGTACGGCCGCCGTGTATTGTCTGGTGGAAGCGGTGATTCCAGTGTCAGAGGTCTGAGCGATAATTCGCTGACCGCCTTGTGGGTAACGCTCGAGGACATTTGACGATGATCCTTGCTGTGTCTTTTGTCTCTTTCGTGCACGAGGAGTGGCTTCCTGGGCTCGGTCCGATTGTTGTGAAATTGTACATGCTCTTCCCAGAGACTGTAAGAATATTCTTAGCGCTGAGATGCATTCAGCCTGTCCTAGATCGGTTTTTACAAAGGCAAGCACCTCGTCGGGCGTGCGACCGGTCTAAAGAGCAATTTAATCATGATACCCTGCGCTGAAAACTGGACTTGATGTCACTCACGGCATCTGGCAGGAGATTCAACGCCTGTCGCAGAACGATATCGCAGGCGTCTTGGAAAGGGACAGACGTGACTGACATGCTGATAAGAAGCTACCAGGATGAAGTACCGTGTCATATCAGGATGGAGGATGAATTCTGTGGTTTATCCGGGCGCTTAGCTGAGGAAAGCCTGCATCACGTGTGGATTACTGGAAGCAGTTCGAAGGAACCATTGCACAATGCAGAGGTATCTTCAATCCGGCAGGGGATTATACCTGTCACATTTCCGATCAGTGTCGGGAGTCAAAGGGTAGCAGTTCCTTTTCTTGAGGGTGTCCTAGATTCTCCCTTCCATCCGACTTTACCACATCGAGAGTAACAAGAGGATCTACACGTATGCAAACTCGAACATGAGGCCAGCCAGTAACGATGCACGAGCCAGAGGTCGGTCATCGCGGTACACGATGAGGTTCTGCGATGACCAACTCCAGGTTCCTACATCGCGACGTGCAATGAAGGCGACAATCCTGATTTGCTCTTTGGTTCCTCGCCCCATAGATGCCATGTCAATCACCGATATGGCCTGGATGACTGAGATCCTGCATTACCCTACGCCTTTTGACCAACGATCGTCTTCTTGTTATCGTGTAAGAGGCGCAGTGCGACACATTGTTATGGATATGGTTTCTATGCGTAGGAAACGTAAAGCAGATGATTGAAGAACTATTCGGCATGTATCCAGAACTACCATGGAGCGAATCGTCGTTGCGAGACGCTTGTCAAGATATGTCTGACGCCGCCTATAAGGTGCAGACTCCCTGTAATGAAGACTTCCACCTGCTCTTGCTGACTCTGGCCTCCGCTCACGCTGGCCACTACATCGATGGCCTCTGCCATACTGTCACATGTCTGAACGTCTCCATGTCCACCGAGGGAGTACCAGATCGATTTCGCGTTCTCCTGGAACAACCCCGTTTGTCTCGATACCGGGTCCTCGTTCTTGTTCAAAATATCTTCTGAAAAACTTAGCAGTAGTCATCATGGAGAAGCCAGGGGACGTACCGACTTCTTCCGTCGACTCATTATGAACTTTGGATGAACAGAAAACCACAAGCTGCAAGACAGAGGCCAATCTCGAGTAGATGGCTTCAAGCAGTGGCCGGGTATCTCGTGTTGACTGATTGAATATAAGGGCCTTGTATCCTTTGGCAGAGAACCTACTCCAATATTCAGCATGGTTGCCTCTCGATCATAATACACGATCCACTGACTGTTGCAGGGCCCATTCCGAAGCTATTTCGATGCTCTCGGGTGTATGAGCTCCGTCCAAAAGGAAGACCCGGTTCGCTTCCGAGATCCGCTCAAACCGGCCAGGCGTAGATGTCTGCTGTATCACCTGGACCACTTTTTCTGGCATGTCCTCCGGGTAGGCGTCCTGAGGCTCCACCAACACTCGGAACATGGCATATGCTAGTGAAGCGTTTGCCCTCAATGCCGCAGGCATGTCGTCACTACACCTGAGGCTGCTGTTTATGTCAACATAACGTAGTGAAGACACCTGTTCGGAATGTGCGATATCATTCAAAACGTCCTCCACTTCTGTCTTCTGATGTGCGAAGAAGGCAGGAACGTTTCTTTTGAACACACCAGCTTTCTGTCCAGCTATACCCTTTAACGTAGGTCCAAGGGTCTTGATATGATCTAAGCCAATCGGTGTGATGCCTACAGCGGTGGGTGATTTCATGATGTTGGTAGAATCATATCTTCCTCCAACCACCGCTTCAATCACAGCAGCATTGACTCCCTCCTTCACGAATATGTGTAAAGCTAAGAGAGTAAGGAATCCAGCATATGAGAGTTTCTTGCACGGTTCCTTCCAGAGCTCGAAGAAGTAGTGGGCGAATAGGTTCTCTGGAATGAGTTCTCCATTGATCTGGATTCGTTCTCTTACGAACACAAGATGAGGCGAAGTGTAGAGCCCGATCTTGGTATCTTTTTTGCTCGGATTCCAGAGCTTGTGGAGCAATTGAGCAAGGAACATGCTTGTAGACCCTTTGCCCTTGGTGCCGGCTACATGAAAGATCTTGAGGCCAGGCAGATGTTCAAGCTGACTCGAGTAAGCGCCGGTGTGCATGTGGTTGTAGAAGTTCCTACTTCATAAAGACTATCCTTCGCGAGATTCCTGACTAATTCGAGGTTCTCCTTCTGCCGCTGACCTGTTGGAAGCGCAACTTTACGTGCCGCTAGTTCTTGATATCCACTCTGCAGCGTGTTCAAACAACGGATAGCTTCCTGCAAGCATGTCAGCTCCAGATATCGTGCTTAGAATTGATGCAACACACTTTGTAGGAAGGCAAGGACATCTCGAACCATGAACAGCTATTAGCGGTGCACAGTTGAACGGGAGGATGCTGGCTGGCATGAGTTCCTGGACCAAGTGACACGTATGAGCTGAGATCGCTGTTCCTACCGACTCAGCGTTGGTCGATAAGCCAATCAGAGCGTTCTCCATCCTCTTGAACACAAGATGCAATCTGCCACCCTGGTCCCGGCCTAGAACAATGATGTCCAGCAGACGATTAGAACAACGCTTCTTGGAGCAGTGGACCCGGCTTAGATTCAAACCCCTACGGAATAGCCATCTGCAGTGTACCTGTCGAATTTCTGCTGCTTTTGTGATCGCATCTGCTCAAGACGACCGGAATCACGACACACTTCGCTCATGGTCCGACATGGGATTGGGCGCACGGATCACACGCCCAATCAATTTGGGAAGTTCCGCGCCGAGGATGGATTGATACTGGGGGCTTTTCTGCATGCATGTACTTGAATCCGAGAGATTAATTGGGCGTTCCATGTCGCGGCAATCTTTCTGATCCGAGTCATACCCGCAATGCCTGGTCGACGTGCGATTTTCCGTCGCGATGGGCCGTACACTTTACCGCATTGGGAAATTCCTTTCGATCGGCTGAAGCATCCACCTGTGTCGTGGAGTACTAGGATTGCTGAGGACAGGATGTCGACTCACGAGATCACCCTACACGGTGTCTCTACGAGTTCACGTAACCAGAGCACAGAACAGATTGGATGGACTTACTTGTTTGTAGTACGATAACGGGTCCGGAACATCGTTATCTTCTTGATTCATGATACCACCCTAGATTGAACAATTAGCTAGAAACGTTTCTGTCTCACTTTCTCAATTCGCAGTTCTTGCTTTCCCTGTGCGGGTAACTCGACTGGATACAAAAGTTGTGATCTATAGCGCTCCAGCACTGTACCAAAATTCGTGTCGCTCCACAGGAGGCGCGGTGTGCTGTAGAGACATGACAACAATCGACATCAAAGTCAGAAGAGATTCCGATGAAGATCTGTATAGCACGACGGTTAAGGTGGCTTTCGAGTGGCCAACGAAAAGATGTATGTGAAGAGCTTTGTATATATACCGGGTCTTAGTATGAGCCTGATGAGGGATGGCATTATCAGTGGAGATAACACTGCTCGGGCCTTTCTCTAAAAATCTACACCGACTACTCATTGATCCTGCCTAGACGATTCTTAGTCTAAACTCGAGTTAGACCATGGTCGATAGAGTGGGTTCAAACCTCTATGGTTGGCTTTACAGTTCGCTCTCCACGGACTCATTATTGACACGCAAACAGCCGAATCAAGTCTTCGCCTGATCGGGATCAAGTCATGACCAGGCTCGTAGGCACTATCTACTCTTCACAAAGATGTTGTTTCTACCTGACATATTCTCTTGCAGATGGTCAGCTGCTACCAAACATGGCAAAGTATGTGCTTACTTGACGCCTTTCGCGATATTCGGTAGGTTTCGTTCCAAATGCGGCGGTTAGAGCAGTCTCGTTCTCCCGAATCAGCGCCGTCACAGTCCGGTTGTAATTCCAGTCTCTTCACTTCCGAGTTTGGGACCCACGATTTAGGATATGGCCAGTAAGAAAAGTGTACATACTTGTCCTCTGCCAAGATCTTTTTTGCATCCCATTTCTCCGTCGTCGACCCTAGATACCTATGGTGATCTTTCTTGCGAAATTCGCCTGTAAGAAGGTCATAAGTTCTATGAGTTATGATGACGCAGTCTCGGGCATAGAGATCGTTGACCATTTCCATGTCGAAGTCAGACTCCATCGACGTCTGAAAGCTTGGAGAATAAGCTCAAACTGGTATTCGGAGGGCTCTATCACTGCGATCTGAGATGAGAGACCTTCTTCCAGCCAGTATGCACGGGGCATAGGGATAGGGGCACGAGGTCAGAGAAATAGCTCGACCATATGCTAGGAGGTGTCAGCCTGAGCGGAAGAACATCTTCTTGTACCTCTGAACGTACTTCAAGAACGTCAGCGTCCGAGTCGAGACTTATGACTCTCTCATATTGCGTTTGATTGAGTGCGAGAAGCTTGGCGAAACTGTCCGCCCAGGTGTGTTCTCCCTCGAAATGTTGGACCTGGATGAGAATTACCTTCACACCATACTCTTCTCTTGCTTTCCGCAACCAATGTCTTTCTATGGAGCTCGAGTCCAAGTTCCAGTGCTGAGGATACATCAACAGTAAGTCCACCTGACTTCAAGACAGACTGAGTGATTCGAAGATCATAAGAAAATTGCACAAGTAGTCTCTGTTTGTGACATATTGGCAGTATGCGAACCCAGCAGCGAAAGGAAGCTCCAGACTCGTCTTCGAACAAAGTCCCGAACGCGGACAATATCGTAGAGCCAGCAAGCGGGTTGATGTCTTCACGTCTCGCTGCCAGAGAAAGTGTGAGTTTTTGATGAATGCCATGGTAGCCAGGATCGAGCCGACAAGCATGGAAAATAGTTGTGTCTTCCTAATCATGACCGCAGGTCGAGTGTAACTTCCACGGGTCACGTCATACGATTGCTTGGGCCTTTCTTGGACTTGATCAGCGATCGAGACTGCTAGACTGATGATCAACAAAGTGTGGGTGTTGGTGGGTACACACGGAGTGTGAAGAAATGCCGGATCTCAAGTACACTTCCCTCAGAGGTGGAAGCACTTGGTAGAATACAGATAGTGGGAGATCTGGCCAGGAAACAGATCGTAAGCTCATTGCTCTTCTGCAGATCTGCTGCTCAACGTGGCAAACCCTTCTTTCATCTCGCTTGGTGATGATCCTGCATATCGTAGATATCCTATAGTATGCTGCTTCATGCTGCGTCATTTCCCATCCCTCTGCAACAGACTCAACAACGCTGAGACGACTGCCGCACCCTGTAGCCAGATCTGTCACGCATCGGACAATTGAACCGAGATCTCCTGCTACCCTTCCGCTCGCCAGTGTGTTGAGTTGTGATAACACTGAGGTACGTTCAATTCGCTATCAATCAAGAGGGGAAGTGCTGTACAGTGGTTCGATTCCAGATCGGGCAAAAGCATGCGTGGTTGGTAATGAGTCGGTGTTTTAAATCCTAGCGTTATTTATGTTTCGTTTTGTTTCGCTCGTCTCGCCAGAGGCGGGACGTGCTCACTCCGGTGTTGCAGACAAGGATCATGGTTGACAGATTTTCACCCCCGTACGAACAGCTCTGATGTGCGTTGCTGACCAGCCGGAACGGGATTAGCTCATCGCATCTGTGCGTCAACGGAACGTCGGTGCCGAAGGTCGAAGTTCCCCCACCAATGAGGAATCTGGTTCACTACCGACGCGCCATAGGTTTGCGGCACGCAAACGATGGCGTGAACAGGTTACCTAGCCCATGCACTAATCGCCAGACCCAGCGCGAAGCTCCACTCACTTCATCAACTCTTCATTTGAGGCTCGCCTGTACGGCGATATCATCCTATATTCTTCTAAGCGCGATGCAAATCATCTCTCGCAGCCCGTACGAGGGCTATCCTCGACCGACCGTTCGCAATACAGGCCGAATGCTCTTTCGAATCACGAGCCGTGTATATAGGCCAATGGCGCCGCTCCATATACAGATCGTCTTTGTACCTTCGAATTGTGATTTGATTCTGGAAAATGGGCGCCACTTTGCCTCAAGATACGGTTGCCGAATCTGCTAGCACGGCAGCGTTCTATGTGCAAGACGGCCTTTATCACAAATGTCCATCAGCGAACCCCCTCGACCTGTCTCAAATCGAGCAATCGAATCCGTGTGGCTATTACTCTCCACTATGTTTCTTCAAATCGCTTCCTGGCGTTGATCCTGAGCATGTTTTTCATCACCTTCGCACAAGCCTGGAGCCGACCCGCCAGGCCATCCCGTCCCTCGCATGTGAGATTGTGCCTTTCGACGATGGGAAAAAACCGACCGGCAAGATTGCTCTCAGTCCTGAATCTTTTGGAGACTTGATAAGGAAGGATCTTCGTGGAACTGGTCTGGTTTATGACGAATTGCGAAAGCAGAATTTTCCCCAGTCGAGACTCAATCCTACGGACCTTTGTCATCGCGGTGTTTTCCCGATGGCGGGCGAGCAGCAACCGGTCTTTGTCCCACAGCTGAACATCATCGATGGTGGTTTCATTTTGGCCGCCCAATGTCATCACTCTATCTTTGATGCTCAGGGCCTGACCGAGGTGTTACGGGTGTGGGCTCAGAATTGTCGTCACTCGCAAGATGATAGCGTTCCCAGGTGCGACTCTCTGCCCATCGAAACGTTCGACCGGACCGCCCACATCGCTTCTCATAAGCCGACAGCTAAAATGGGCCGGCCAGAACACCATCCTGAACTCATCATCAGCCCCGAACCCCTTACCTTCGGAGAAACAGCGATGAAAGAAACGCATGAATCTCGGGTCTACCTATTGTCTCCCGAAGCTTTGGTCCAGCTGAAGGAAGACTACGTTATGGTGCACCCAGGACGCGATGAAGCTGTGATGCGCAGCTTGTCGACCAACGATATGGTCACTGCATTGCTTTGGTACGCGGTATATCGGGCGCAAAATGATCCCGAAAGGTTTCCGGACGGAACCAAACTCTCTTATCATATCGTCAACGTCGATCTGAGACTTCGTTCTAAACCAGCTCTATCACGGCGTTACCCTGGCTGTCCCATGAGTTACGCTCGTGCGGCAGTCCCCGTCAGGGATCTTCGCGAACCCTCGAGCATCGGCTCTCTTGCCATTGAGATCAGGAAAGCGGTTGATGAGAGAACGCCAGAGTACGTCAAGTCGCTCGTCACGCTCCTTGACGCCATTCCTGGATATGATCACGTTGTGTCGGCTTCATACCCGAATTTGATGGGCAGCGACTGCCTTACAAGCACGTGGTACAAATTGGATATCTACGACCTTGACTTTGGTCCTGCAATCGAAAAGATCGAACGAGTCAGGTTCTCCAAGAGGGGTCTTTTCAATGGACTCAGTATGATCTACCCGAAGGTCACCAAAGGGGAGGGACAGGGTATGGAAGTCGCGGTCGGTTTGGATCAGTGCAACTTTGAGAAGCTGCAAAAGGATCCAGTCTGGTGCAGGTATGCAAAACCGACAGATGCTGGGTATGACAGTATATAGGCGAGAGCGAGAGGCTCGATGTATGGGTATCGAGGTTCACTTCCCGAAATCAGACCAAGCGCTTGAGTTATGTGCCAAGCTCTTGATCAAAGCACGATGAGAAGACTCTGTGTATAGACTATTCGGCTGTTAGAAATGCGCTATTGAAGGTGCCGCACGGAAGATTATTTCGAGAGACATTCGCTGCTGATCACAATCTTCCTGCGGCTCAGCATTGGAGATGGCGGCACCATAATTGGCGTCTGTTCTGCAATATACTTGTCGTAATTCTTTATGTATGGAGTAAATTGGCCAAACGCTGGCGGTAGATGCCTGTCGATACCGATCCATTTCTGACGATTCTTTTCAAGCCGTAATTTTTACTCACGGTCAGCCCTGGGTCTCGGGTATCGTTGAATACACTGTTTCCGAATACGGCCCTAGGTTTCTTGCGTGCGTCACCATGTTCTGCATACATCATCCACGTACAAGCAAATGATCATGCTTGGCTCCTCTGTCAAAACCAGGTAAAATTGAGCCGGAGACCCGCTCTGGACTTCTTGAGTCAAGCTATAGTCCCAGCCAGACCCCCTAGCGATAGGGGAAATGCCGCATCAGCCCTCACATATCTCCCTGCACTATCTTCTTTCCTTTTCCACCCGCTTTGTGATGCCCTGACCTACGAACAACCACACACACTTGGCAACAGTGTACGTTTCCTCAAAGTCCTCTGTGTCCTCGAAACAAACATCTATACCACCTCAGTCTGAGGCGAGTATACTGACCTGCAATGGCCCGATCAGTGACAGAGCTTTATGGAAGCCCTCCGCCTGGTATAGATCTTCAGGCCAATCAGGAGGTCCTGGATGACTCGGTTGTAGCAGTGCTCGCTACCATCGCGACATTAGCTGTCGCTTTCCGTATCATTGTCAAGAAGAGAAAGCGTGTTGGGCTGGACGGCGACGATTGGTTCATTCTTATGGCTCTGGTACGATTGATGAAAGTCAAACGCGAGGGCTCAACATGCTGACGAATAGCGTGTGAAAGCTTGGAGAGTATGGCACAGCCGCCTGTACACTCACCAGTAACTACTTCGGAGCAGGAAAGCATGTCTGGGCCACCAACACACCCTCACTTTGCAAAATGTCAATTGTAAATTGCAAGCGGATTCCAAGACCTGGGACTGACGGTCGATACCATGTCTTCAGGCATTGTTTATTTATCCATGGATCTACGTTGTCGCAACAGTCGGCCTCAAGCTATCATTCTGTTGGACTTACATGCGCATATTCTCGTTGAGCTCAGTACGCGGCACAACAAGGTGCCGCACGTGGATCGACCGGAGCCTGGTTGCCTGCGCACTTGCCTCTTGCATCTATGCCCTATCTGTGTGGTTGCCAATGACGGTGGCCTGTCGACCGTTGCGCCACTTCTGGGATCAATATACTGGTGCGAGCAATGGTAGATGCATGGATTACCTGTCAATGTGGATCTTCACGGGTATCTGTCGCGCAGCCCTTGATCTGATCATCCTGCTTCTACCAATCCCACGGATTTGGTCCCTACAGATGTCTTGGACGAAGAAGCTCAGCGTCATGGGTATCTTAGCCTTGGGTACACTGTAAGCACATGCCATCTCTTGATACCATACTGGTTGTATACTAAAATTATGTCGAAAGTGTAGTAATCGCGGCAATCATCCGATTGGTCTACATAGCTCGTATGATGCATGAAATCGACATCACGTGGGCTTTGGGACCTGCCCAGATCTGAACCTCACTCGAGCCATCACTAGGCATTGTGTCTTCATGCTTGATCACCACTTTCCGTCCCATCATGAGTGGTATCCGTAGCATGTTTCGACTCAAGGATAGCGGTAAAGCAAACAAGCTGCCCAGTCACACTGAACAAGGGTATGGCAGAGGAGCTTCCCACAAGGTTCCACGTTTCAGAGGATCGCACGAAGAAGGGTATGATGAAGAAGAACTGGAGGAACTGGGGCTTTGTGACGTTGGGGGGGGGACACGCAGCGTCAGTCACAACAGAGGCGCCACAGCAGGGTGGCCAGAAAGTCTCGCCGCAAGGACGGCGAAACTTCTCGCGAAAGGGTCCACTGGATTGTAGGATTCGAGTTGAGACAAGCGTTATTGTTGAACAGGCACCTGGTGACGAGATTTCCGTGGCGCACTCACGACCGACAAACTACACTACTCGATGGTAAGTATTTGCACCGGCAACTACCACCATGTTCAACACACCACTACAACTACAGGACGAGGTACATAGTGGATCCGGCTTTTGGTGGTGTAACAGAGCCGCAGCAAGAACCTCAGCACCATATGAGATGAGACCGCGCCACCGACTGTGTCATGGCTCGGACTGATGAATGGCCCTCACGATCAGTGATTGTGTTGTATCACGAACATGGCGTCTCACTACGAGCTATCAGCCGCAGCAGATATCCGGGTGCGTCATCTTGTGACACCTAAGTAGCTTAGATGCTTCAGTTGTACGATGGTTCCTCCTTAAAGAACATGTACACAATCGTGTATCGTCTCGTCCCTGTCACAAAAGCTTTTACCGCACTTTCAAACCGACATGGAATTGAAGGAGGATTAGACTCAGATGACTAGAGCGTAGAGCGACAGCAAAAGAACGCATGACGTGCCTGCTACTTTGAGAATCAATCGTCCTTACTTGAATTTCTCACGCTGGTCTGCACTGCCTCAAGATATGCGGGTCACAAGTCTTAACATAGTCTCGTTCATCGACGAGCCTGTCTCAAGACTTAGCTTGACGCCTGCGTAGCTCGCAGCTTCCGATCGTGACATAGTACAGTTGGACGAAAGCGAAGAATCCTTGCTCAGTACAGATGTGGCCCGTGGTGATTGCGACGACTGCTGATCTACATAATGTAGCTTCTCCCAGGAACCTCAAATGTGTAAGGCCTGTCACTCCTCTTCAGCAAAAATTGAATAGTCAGTCAGCCTTGGATGCCGATCGTTTGTTCCACCCTGCAGATTGACATCGTTGAGTGCAATGGTTACTTCCCAAGAGGTTCGATACATCGGGAGACATCTGAGCTGCGTAAGTGGTATCACATCATACTGGCGAGAACGGGCACTCCATTAACAGTATAGTCTATCACGAAACCAGCGCGAGTGACTATGTTTATATCACCTCTAGCCATGGTGCGTATTCAGACAAGAGTCAGTATCGGGAGTCGACTTGGACACATTGGAGAGCACGATCTTGTTCTAGGGAGCTGATGAAACAGAACTAGGTGACCTTCAAGTCCTCCAGAATTTGACACGCGTTCACAAGGTACAATGGGGGTGATTTCCATCGACTTTGCTTCAAATATCTCCAAAGCGTACACATGGGGGCCACAGTGCTGGAATGATGGATGAGGTTCGTACTTAGTACCACAGAGATAAGTAATAGTTACGACTTGTTAGACAAGAGACTTGATATCACTAGGACCAATCTGAGCCCTGGCATGTAGGTACGGCTGACTTTTGCAAGCGTCAGACTCTGAGCGGCAAACGTCTCAATGCCCTCGTCAAGCTTCTGCATGAAGTTTCCCACGCTCGACACGTAGTCGTTCAACAACTGCTGGACGCCCTTTGCATCGACTGTCTGGCTTTATAACTGAGGAGAATTGTCGTAGTCAGGTAAGAATGAACGATCAACACATAAGAAATACAAAGTGACCACATCTCTTTGGCATTTCTGCAGACTAACGGGCCATGAACCTGAATCAGCGCACGACTGTCCCCCCGAATCGCGTGTGACCTTGAACTGCTGCCGGCATCACCGACGCTTTTTTTGTGATCGCCAGGGGAACACCCTCCCACAACACTGGACAACGCCAATGTGTGCAACTAGTAATCCTGGCATCCGAAAAGGTAGGATTTCGATAGATGCAATCTACTATCAGGTTCATCATGATGACTTCCTGCATATCGCCCCTGGCAAGCGAGTTTCAAGCAGCACAATCTTCGCTCTGTTCGCCGGTGGGAACACGCTATAT